TCCTTGATTTACATATTGGCTTTGCTGCTAGTGCACTACAGTCCCTGCTGGGCTGCTGCTCTGACATTGTAGTGAAAGGAAGCCAATATTAGGGTGTACCCGACATACCCTGCAGTCTAATGGGTGTTTTTTACTAGCTTGCACGCTGCATTTCTAAGAGGCAAGTAAGGAGTTAAAGCATTCCAATATGGATGTAATGTCAAGGACAGCCCTTGCCTGATGTTAATGGCTCAGCTTTACAGTCAGCATCTAACCGTGTAAGGAGTTGAACCCCTGGGCAGGCAGATATCTGCCTGGCACAGTGAAAAAGGGCCTCTTACCTGGCCCATCTCATTTGTGTATTCATAGCTGAAATGTAATAGTTACAGCCATCAATCATTCTTGAGTCTGCCAACAATCCAGAGATCATTGAACATAAATGTTTATTAAGATGACAGTAGTGGGGGAAAAGGGTTGAGCCATAAATTGTGTCTAAAATAAAACATTCCCTGATTAAAAAAACTAAAACAACAGGTTCTAAAAAGATTTGAAACAGTTCTTGTTTAATCTGATAATTAATGTTGGCAGGCCATAACTACCTGTTGTGCTACTCACTAGTGGCAGTGACTATGCTGTGGAAGCCTACAGAAATAAGGACCATTTGATTCAGCAAGAGCATTGAAGAGCCCATCAGATTTTCATTAGTGACCCAAATAAAGACACTAGCTGCAATGCCAAGCTCCAGAAAATCACAGAGAAAATAGGAAGAGTATGAGCAAGAGATTTTGTTTCTCTCTTCTCATCAATACCTTGCTTCATGCAATTCCCGTTTTCAACTTACTCTTTCTCCAATCCATTAAAAACATGAAAAGCCTAGAATGCAACCATATTGGGCAATAGATACAACCACATATAAAAGACTATCTTCAAATGAGACATTTTCTTTAGGTATCTATTTCTCCAGGTGTCAACATTTGTAATGCTGTCAAGGACCTCTATAATGGTATTTTCAGTCTTCAAGCTGTTATTCCTCCACCTTCCTTATAAAATAATTGAAACTGTTCTGTCTATTACATAGGGCCCTCATTTGGGAGCTAGGAGACCTGAATTCTAATCCTGACTCAGCCACTGATTTGCTTTGTGACACTAGACAAATTATATTTCTTCTCTCTGCCAGTTAAACCTTTTCCACCCTTCATTTGTCTTGCCAGTGCAGGGGATGTTTCGATAAGGAACATCTCTCACTATGTTTGTGTGAGGTTAAGTACAGTGGAGTCATAATCTTCAGGCTTTTAGACACTACCGTATCATAAATAGTAAGGTAAGCTTCTGAATACTCTGTTTTTGCACACCAATTCAGACCAAATACTAAACAGAAACTGAGGCAGAAGAGAGGTTAGGCAACTTGCTCAAGAATTAGGAAATCAGTGGCAGAGTTAGGAACTGAACTTAGATCTCTGGAGTCCGAGTCCCAGTCCCAGTGGGTAATTTCAAAGCCATCCATCCTTAACCTAATCTGCCCATTTGTCTTGACATTTATACCACACTCATTACTTTGGTCTCTAAGAAATTAATGTCTCAACCATGTTTTCCATGTATGAGGAAGGAATACAACCATTTTGGGGATGTGGAGTCCTGTCCATGCAAGTAACTGTCTAATGCCACCAATTCATAAGTCACTGAACAGCTATCAGATGGGAAAGGATTTCCTTCATCCTGGATACAGGTAGGACGCCGATGGAAAGGAGTGGGGATGGAAATCACAATAGGAATTCTCATGCTTATCAAAAAGATTAATTTGCCCAAGTAAATCTGAGTTAGCCGAAGTAAATCTGAGTTAGCTTTCAGAGATTAAGGCGGTCACACTTCTGCAGCCTGACAGCCATCAAGCCAGTAGATTAATTATTTGATCACTTGAGGAGCAAGCCCACTCTAGTACAACACTGTGTAAAATAAAATATGAAAAATCCAAGTTGAACTGATGTCATTTTTCACAGCAAAGCGACTTAGCCCAGTCACAGTGGCTTTTGATTGTACCGTAGCTCTGGTAGCTGAAAGAGATTCTTCGTACTTTTTGGCAAATCAGCAGTTCTACAGCTCAGATAGAAAAGCATGCAGAAATAAGCAGCAATCGATGAAACAGAACCATCTGCTGTGTGTCTTAGGGATCAGAAGTTAGAGAATACAGTACATTTACAAAACAAGTCTCACAGAGGTTGCATGTTTGGTTTTTTAAATAAATTTCTTGGGAACTCTGATGTCAGTGCTGCAGCAAAAAGCCTGGAGATAGATGTTAATCAAATTATGAGAAACAGGTCTGTCATCTTATTGATGAAAACCATAAACAGTAAAAAGCAAGTAAAAACATGATACCATCCAGTTAATTGATTTTGATTACCATGGTTTTCCATTTACCGGAATATTTGGCTTTTGATCAGAAATGTAGCTGTCACATCAGAAACAAGCCTTCATGGTCCATTGCCCTGGGAGATGAATGTATTAACTTAGGCTACATCTACACTGCAGCTCTTTTCTGGAATACCAGAGGTATCCCGGAAAAGCTATGCTGTGTCCAAGGATACATTTCAGAAAAGCGGATGCATTCTTTCGCCATTCCTATAAATCTCGTTCTACAAGGAAGAAGTGACGTGTTGAAAGAGGAGGCTTTTCTGAAATTTGGTGCAGTGTAGATGTGCCAAATTTCAGAAAAACCTCTTCCGAAAGAAAAATGGAAAAAGATACGCAAATTGCGGTTCGCAATTTATCTTTTTCTGACTTTTCTTTGTAGTGTAGACACAGCCAAAAATCTCTGACACTTAAGATGCCAATCTTCTAAAATAACAAGTAGTAACATTGTTCCATCGCCTTTCAATTGGTAGCTGGTACATAGGTAACTTTTTCTTCAAACATGTAATTTGAAGGGGCAGCAGGTTCTGGAGAACACCACTAAGAAACATACCGGATCATTATGAGGCCCCCTTAGAAACCCGTGGAAACCATTCTGCTCATATTCTTTAAATTTTCTGAGTCCCCAATTCCTTCATTACTTTTTTCAGAGGTAGACCTTTGTTTTACATAGAAATACTCCACCAATCTGCCTAACACTTCACAAAACACCACAGGGAGTGCCCTAATAATCCTCTCCACCAACCAGAGGGCGTCAGATGTTGTCTTTGCTTCTGATCAATTTTTACACTTTCTACAGTTAAGGGAGGCTACAGCTGAAGCCTTTTTTGGTGGAAATTCAGGGTGAGACATGTATTCTATTACCATCTACTCCTCTGTTCCCTGATGGGCCATCGATAGGATGCATTGGGGCTAAGGCAAGAAGCGAAAGATCATGCTAAAGTCTCCCTTAAAATTTAACAAAAGGAAGCTAACTTTGCTATTCAGCGCTTAAGCCACACAGCTGGACTTGGGAGTGTTGCCTTAAGCAACAGAGCAAAACACCTCTTGCAATAAGAAAGTTATCAGCCAGAAGAACTGGTCAGAAGGATGCATCCTATGGCTCCCTTTGCAGGATCAGGGCCTTGGAGACCAAGATTTGTCTTTTACTTTTGTGGTATGTCCTGCATTTTAAAAAGTGAGGATTTTTTCCCCCAACAGACATGGACTTCAGTCAAAAGTCTGGATTCATATCTGTAAAGCAATGTAAATGAAAAGCCAGGCTGTAACAACTAAAGTGCCACTCAGCTAAAGCACCACTCAGTTTCACTATGCAAAATAGCTGGGATTTCCCTCTGCTTTTTGGGCTGGGACAGCTTGCCAGTGAAGAGCATCACTTTTAATTACAACATGTTTAGAGGCACAATTTTATATATATTTATACATAAGATTACAATGTAAATTCAGATGTCTGTATTTGGAATTTAAAGGTGAATAAAGAGCTCTTGGCAAGAGAAGTGATTCCCCAATTTATCATACACTAAACAGAAACAGGGATGTAAGCAACTAGTCTACTACCTGATATGCCTAGGCTTATCAGGTAGTCAAGTCACTACTCGACTAGTCACTCCCCAGGGGGAGTGGAGACAGTGCTGCGGGGAGCCGGCTTAACAGCCAATTCCCCCCCAACCCCATTTCTGTGGGGGGGAAGGGGCAGGAGAAGCAGAGGTGCAACAGGGGAAATGGCCCAAGCCAGGACTGAGGAGTCCCAGCTCACACCAGGTCCCAGATGCTGTGGCTCTGCTTTTTAAATGTAGTGGCTCAGATGTCCTGGCTCACGCTGGGTCCCTCATGCTGCACCTCTGGTTTTTAAATGTAATAAAAGCCTGTTGTGCCTCTGCTTTTTAAATGTAGTAAAAGCCTGGTGGCTCTTACTACATTTAAAAAGCAGAGGTGCAGTGAACCCCTTATTTACTAATTGAATAGTCAATGGAAATTCCATCAACTACTCAATTAGTTTCCTAACCACTATTTAACATCCCAAAACAGAAGCATTACCATCTACATGTTAAAAGTAATCTTTAATTCTTATTAAACAGAATGGCAAGGAGAAAGATAACAGTAGTTCAAACACAGTTTTGAGGCTATCTGTGGTTGATTTCTGACTCTATAGCTTAAAAGTCACTAACCTTCTCCTGCCTTCTGCTTTCCTGTCTGTAATATCAGGGTAATAACACCTTCCTTACAGTGAGATTATGATGATACTTTATTTAGTGTTTGTAAAGAGTTTGGTGCTCCTCCAATAGAAGATACTATAGAAGGAGAAAGCATTAAAATCCATAATATACAAATACTGCATTTAAAGATCAAAACTCAGAATAACCAAAGTTTATTAAACTGAGAGAGGGAATAAAGACTAAGTTTCCTAGCATGTGTTTATATTTATACAGAAGTGTTTCTCAAACTGTGCTCCGCGGAGCCCCTGGGTTCTGCGAGACATCTCCAGGGGCTCCGTGAGGTTGACAAACTGGAAACATCAATAGGTACAACACATACAATCAGTGGACCACTGGGGCTCCACATAAATTTTTACACATGTAAAGGGCTCTGGAACCCAAAAAGTTTGAGAACCGCTGCCCTAAGGAAATGTGCTTTTAAAAAAAGGACATGATATGGCTTACAATTTGCCATGGGAAATAAAGAAACCCCACCTAATTTTCACCATTGTTCTTATGCCAGGCTAACGCCACCGTGAGGGCCTGCTTTTGATCAACTGGCAAACAACATTTCTTAATGCCATTTGAGGCATTTATTGTAAATCAATGCTACTAATGCCTGTTCGTGTCAGGTGCTGCCACTGATAAGGATAACTCCTGCACAAATCACTCTTGTAAATGAGAATTGATTCTGGCACTGTGAAAGTCATGCTAGTGAACTATTTCTTTCTCAAGCTGCCATTGGACTGCAGGATCAGTAGTATCTTTGACCTTGATGAATGAGTGGCTGTAACTTTCACAATGGAATAATTGACAGCCTGCCCAGATCACATTTATGCCACCAGAACTTCAAGTCTTTGAGTGAGGGAGGTTCTTACATAGCCATTGGCAAGAAGTTCCAATTGTTAATTACACTTGCTGTTAAAAAATACATTCTAATTCTAGTTGTAATATTTCTAGCTTCAACTTCCAGTCACTTGACCCTGGATTATACTTAAAATGTATATCAACTTAGCTAGGTCACTCAGAATCATGAGAAATTCACATCCCCGAGAGCAGTAGTTCAGCTGAGTCAGTCCCCGGTGTAGACAAAGCTAGTCCAACAGAAGAATTCTTCTGTCAACCTAGCTACAGATGCTTGATGATGTTGATTACCTACAACAGTGATGGGAAAACCTCTTCAGTCAATGCAGGAAGTGTCTACGCTATGGAACTATAGTGTCATAACAGCAGTACCATATCTGTGCCACCAAAGTACCTGTGGCGGAGACATGCCCTGAGTCTCTGTTAAGCTTTCATCTGTTCCTCAATTATAATCATATATTTTCTGGGTGTCGGTACTTATGGACCAGGATCAAGCCAGATCTTAACCTCTTTAATAAAGCCAAGGCCTTATTCAGGACATCTCTTTCAGTACAGTACATAAGCAGAGGCTTAACTGTGAGGCTTACCTTGAATTCAGTGGGACTTCAGCATGTACTTCAGTGCTATCCTGAATAGGAAGGAATTTAAGCATATATATTCCCAGATAGGGGACTTGATCTTTTATTGTAAGATGTATTTTCAGACCTTGAAATCATTCTTGTACCTGTTTTTTAACCCTGATTTTTCCATATCCATTTTAAAATATGAATGCCAGAATTCGACACTATTCCCATAAATGGTCTCAACAATACTGAATAAAGCAGCAACAGCACCTGCTTGCTCTTACTTAACACTCCTTGTTTCTTTGTCTAAGGAATTAATTGATTTTTTTAAAATCTACAGCATTGCAGAAGGAGCTCTTATTCAGTCAGTTAACTCCAGTGATCCCCAGTAGCTGTAATTGTGCTTTCATGTGAAAGTGTTTCTTTTGCTGCTGACTATTTGCTTTGATAAAAGTACCTACCCTGACTAGTTAATAAGATTGACGTAGGGTAATTAGAATGTTTAAGAATAACTGAATATCCTCAAGAAAAAGTGCATCTAAGTGTCACCAATAATTTACTGCTATTCACTGACAGAGATTGGTGTAGCAACTGGGGTGTGGGTGGTCAGGCAATAGCAATATTTCTGTTTTTTCACCTTTGTTTAGCTTGTAAACTATTTTTCTTAAGTATCTGTAAAATATCCAATATAATGGAGTCCAAATCGTCTTAGAGCTTCTATAATATCAATAACTAAAACACAAAACAATGTATAGTAGAAGCTGTTAATTCCTACAAAATTTAGCCTTTTCTCCCAACCTCTCATCAAAGATTAACGGTAGAGACTGTAATACATTTATTAAAGCTCAATCCAATTCCCAAGGAAGCCTACAGCAGTCTCTCCAGCAGCTTAAGTGGGGGCTGGACTGGGCCTTTAAATAAATCTACTTCATTTTAACCAAAATATATGAAAGAACTTCCCCATGGAAATCTGTGATAGCTCTGAGAATCCTTAGGGCTGAAGAAACTTAGGGTTTTTCCTCTGCTTCCTTCCTATTTTTTTTAATCACTTATTAAGCGCATTGTGAGAAAAGCTTCCTAATATTCTCTAAAAATGATTGTTTTCAAGTACAAATAATTTGATTTAATGAAGATAGCATGAGGAAAACTCCAGAACAATCCTTACAGAGAATCTTTTTTTACAATATAAGTCTTAAAATTTTTTTAAAAAAACCCAATATAGAGATTAGATTATTTCAGTGCAAATCCAGCCCTGGTCAAATCTAGCCATTACTTGATGGTATAAACAATAATTTACATTTAACATTTTAAGATATTGAGGGAAGACCGTTCAGTCTTCCATTTTTACATGCAAACCCCACTGTTCCTTGAACTGCAGGAGATATGGTTCTTGGTCTTCTGATGGCTCAACAGACACCTGCCTCTCATAGAGTTTGGACAAAAGTCCCTCGTCAGCAGGCTGATCACATGCTTCATGCTCAAGTACTTCTTCATGTGTATCATGCTCAAAACTGGACAATGTAGGTATAAAAAGTTTTCCAGTATGAGGATCCCAGTCTACTAATATTGTCTGTTCATCCTCTTCTTCCACCCCCATTGTCCCAGTTTGCTCCTGGGGGCTCTGTGTTATTGTTCTTAACTGGGGATGGTAAGACTGCTCTATCTTTTCAGTATCCACATTCACCAAATCACTCTGTGGCTCACCCAGCAGTACCTCTGGTGTAGCAGCCTTCTCCATCCAATTTAGTTCTTTTAGTTCCTGCACCAAACACACATCTGTAACTTGCACATCAAGCTGGGGACAGTACGACTGTCCTATTTTACTGTCAGCCAAGTCCCTCAGAGTTATTTGTGGCTCATCTAGCAGTTCTCTTGGTTCAGAAGACTTCTCTGTTGAACCACATTCTTGTACCTTTTGCACAGGAAAAAGTTCTGCAGGCCTCACATCAAGTGCATACTCTACAGCCCCTTCATTCTTCTGACCCAAAGCATAGCGGAATCCATGCTGGCATCGTGGTGAGCAGTTCCGATATCTCACAGAGTCAGGTAAAATTTTAACATCTTCGGAAGTATCAGCCAAACAGTTCACTTCTAAGGCTCTTGTCAGAGGCTCATCAACACTGCTTTCGTCATGAATGGAACTGCAGTTGTGGCTGGTCCTATGTATTAAATTTGTGGTTTCTTGGGAAGTCTTGTACTCATCCACTATATTAAGAGTGATGAAGTTAACCACTATTTTTTCAGAAGGCATAAAAACCGTTTCATCAAATTTATTGGTGTACTGCAATACCTGGAACGGAAAGGCAATGTGAAAAAAAAAAAAGAAATATAAGACTCTCTCACAGCAGTTTATTTGGAATCTACTTTTAAAATGTACAATTAGGTCCCATCTGGTCAGGGGTAAGGAGGAAATGAAGTGCAAAATCTGGCCCATTCTCTATAAGCAGTGACAAGAGAAGCCGTAAGTCCATTGATAAGCTCATTGGAAAGCTTCCACCTTAAGGCAAAGCGGATTCAATAATCAGGCTTAACTTTACATTGGAAGTGGTGGATTGAGACAAAGGACCAAGAGTCCAGAGATTTGTGTTCTACTTCTGGCTATGTCACAGAGTGCATTTGTGGCCCTGGGGGCTAGTTACATCACCCTCTATGCACCTCCATCTCTCCATCTAGAGAACTGGGATGTCACTAAGTTACCTACTTCTCACAGAAGCTATGCATGTCTTAACTTGCTCGTTAGTGTTTGTATGGTGATCCAAGAGCTTCAGGTAGAAAGTGTTACAGGATTTCAAAATACTTGTTATATAATAGTTGTACTTCTCTCTCAAACTGGAAGAAACCTATTACTGGTGTCTACCAGCAATCCTTGTTTCAAGTACAAAAAAAGTCTCTCCAATCAACAGGTCCTTTCAAACACAGTAAGTGCAACCACTGTAAATAAAATATGCCAAGGGGAAAAAAGAACCCCAGAACCAGGAAACCCAAAGCTGCCTTTTTTACTGTAAATGTGTGATGTTTTATACTCAATAAAATGAGAGATTAATACATGTAGCAAAGCACAAAAGTTGTTCCAGAAAGTTCTCCTAAAGCTCTTCATCCCTGACCTGAAACTGCTTGGCTACTCCATCTACCACTGGGTGCAGATGGCCAATCAGGGGAAATAGTTTGTAGAAGTAGTGAAATGATGGCTGGTATATAGACTAATTTCCACTTGTTACTGAATTAAGGATTTTAACCCAGAAGTCAAGAGGTGGGGGTTGTAGAAGATGAACCTTCCTGGGGTTCAGTCACAGCAGCAAAGGCTGCTCTACAGTAGTGACATTACCAGTTCTAGTCTCCCCAGAAAATCTGGCTCCATATAAAAGGGAGAGATGCTGCACCTCCTGCACCAACCCCACCACGGGCTGGCTTCCTTCTGATTTAATCCCATCAGTCTCTTTACCTCCTTCAAACCCTCCATACTATCCTCTGTCATGGACAGTGAGTTAACATCACAGTTGAGGGCTGGCGTACACTACAAAGGTAAGCTGACTTATCTACCTTGCTCAGGCCTTTGAAAAATGTCCTGTCCTGTGAGACATAGTTAAGGCAACTTAAGGCCTGGTGAAGACACTGCTAATCAACAGCAGAATTCTTTCGAAGAGGTGGATTTACTATAGCGATGGAAGAACCCCTGTCACTATAATACAGGTCTGCACTCCAGTGCTACAGCAGTTGGGCTGCCATGGCATTTCTAGTTAAGACATACCCTTAATAGTGCATTGTTTTATAATGGTGCCTCAATGTTTGACAGCTTGCTGTGCAATATCTAGGAGATAAAGCCCTGCTTTTAGGGATTAAAAATGAAACACTTCCCCCTCCCCCGTTCTTTTAAAGATCTTTTCTTTAAAAATTGTTATAATACAATGAAAGGGACAAACTTATAAATATTTGTACACAGAAATATCTGTGGGTGATCTAATTAGTACAGGTTGAACCTCCCTAAACTGGGACTTTCTGGTTCAGCAATATCTGTGGTCCTAATGTTCCTGGACCACAGAGCCGAGGAATGGGTAGGTCTGGTGGTAGGGCAGGAGCATGGTCGGGGAGTTGTTGACTCAGACAGGAGTCCTGTGTCATAGGGGGTGGGTGTTGTGGGGAGTTCTGGCCCCAGTGGCCAGCTCCAGCCCAGGTGCAGCCAACCAAGCTCTGTGGCTGTGGTCGGAGCTGGAGCACCCTGGTTGCTGGGGCCAGAGCTCCTCAGCCAGGGAGCTCCAGCTCCCACTCCAGCTGTGGAATTCTGCCTCTGACAGCAGCTGAGCCAGCAGCAGCAGGGCCAGGTTGGAGCAGCCCATTTGGGGTAGCAGAGCAGCACAAGCTAGTAGGGGAGGAATCTTCGCTGTTCCGGCAAATTCCCTGGTTCAAGACAAGTCAGGTCTTGAAGGTGTCGGACCAGACAGGCAAACCTGTAGTACACTGACATGTTAGTAGATTACTACAGAAAAGCAGACTTAACCGTACTGTATTAGAAAATATACTAAATTGAAAATTAAGTCATCTGCCTAGTTCAGATATACTAAATCCTCCAGAAACATAAACAAAGAGTGAACTAGAGTAATCACTAGTAATAGTCCAAGAGAACATCAATATTTCATTTGGTCTCTCTTATTTAGTGATGAATTAATCCAATTAATAATTTTTGCTCATTGAAGCCTCTCCAGAGAACTCTGTGGGTAAATATAGAAATTGTGCCAGGAGCTTACTAATTGCATTTGCCTCAGCGCGCCTTAATCCTTGCTTATAGCAATGCCCCTTTCCAAGAACAGTTCCATTTTGATGCTCAGTAACTTTGGGTTTCTTTTTAGGAAAGCCTGCCAGGCAGTCATACCTCACAGGCACAGCTGTTAATATAGAATGTGTAGGCGGAGGAGTAAAATTAACAACCAGTGCATTATGTTCTTTTCTTGATTTGAGTGCAACTTAAGGTACTGATCCTGCAATATGTGGCATGCAGGCAGGTGCTGTAACACCCACATGGAAGCTTAGGGAACCCAAGGGGGCTCTTCACAGGTGCAGGGTAAATGGCTGGACTGAGGCTTGAGTAAATAATGAGGAGCACTTACCAGGTTAGGTGGATGCTTTTGTTTGCTGACATGAATATATCTATGCACACAATAGCCTGCCATTGAGACAATGAAGGCTGTTAAAATGATGGGCAGAATGTATCCAAATACAATTGTTACAGTCTGTTCTACAGTTGGGTCTGTTAATAAAACAGAAGTTATTGCATTATGTAGTTTACTTCCCAATACTGTCACAAGCACTTATCACGCTGCTGCCTGGATGGAGGAACCAATTTTGCTGCATTTGGGGATTTCTAGCATCTGTAGGGGCTGAAAATGGTGACATTTGATCCAGAGACCAATTTTGATAATTCTACTTGCCTTTGCAGGTGGAACTAGCTAACCTGATGCACCTTCGCTGTCAGAAAAAATGCTTAATAAAAGAACAGTTTCATCCTGATTTCTCTTGGATACAGAATCTCTTCTCTTCTGAAAAAATATTAGTTCACCCAAAGGCCCCAGCTTCATGCAACAGAGTTGAATAGCCATCGACTGCTGCTATTGGTGTATTCAGACTGGATTTGAAGACTGGATGGATGGGTGAAGAGGGAGAGGGAGAGAAAAAAAAAAAGTGTGCAGACACCCACAGATTCCAGAATCCATTAAGAAAATTCCAACAAAGACCATCGAGCTACTGGGGGAAAGAGAATGGAAGGTGATGAGATTTATTCCTGAGGAACACCCTGTTCACAGAGGAAGTCATTATATGTGAGCTCCAGTTAGGAGGATGGCATGTCTGTCGCAGCCATGGAAAACATTTGGGAGATTCCTCAACAGTACAATTTGGTGGAGGAAAAGATAAGGGGAAACTTTCCAAAATCAGAACTGGCCCTTTCACTTGGCTATCTAAGCAGTTCTAATCTATGCCTTTTCCTAGAATTGTTATACAACACATAATTCTTTCCAACTCTGATCTAAGTTTCATTCTCTTGGCAAGTTGCAGGATTTGTACATACCTTTCAGAGTAGCAATGCAGTGTTCTTCAGAAAATTCACTAAGCAAAAGTGGTGTTGTAACGTATGTCTGTACGCTGACACAGTAAACTATATTGGATTCCAACCGGGGCACAACCAGTGTATTGTTTTTAATGGAGAACACCCACTAGAAAAAAGAAGATGGCAACTTTTATTTTAAATCCTACCCTAAAACAAAGAAGATGGATTTTATTAAAAACAAACCAACAAAACCTGGAAAGAGCAACATTCTGACCATTAACCTGAGCTAGATCCGTAATTCTAAATTATTTCATTTTTTCTGAACACTAATAAAACAGAATCAGTTATTACATTGTCTCATCTGAGAATTTTACCTTCTGTTTAATGTAATAGTCTACATAAGAACGTAAGAATGGCCATACTACATCAGACCAAAGGTCCATTTACTATACATCCAAAATACATTCCAAAAATTGGACATATAATGAAAAATGACAAAGAGGGGAATTTTTTTCCTGCAGCTGACTTCTGTTTTCATGAATTGGTCTTTTTATTTGCATGATGTAAAAGCGGGGAATAGGAGGACTTATAACACAACAGTTCCTACAAGTGTCAACGACGTTAGTGCAGAACCAACGAATAGCGTGGCAACGCCTTGTTGCCCAACAGTAGCCAGTGCCAGATGCCTCAAAGGGAATGAACAGAACAGTAATCATCAAGTCCCAGAGGAGTCGCTGTGTTAGTATGTAACTTTAAAAACAACTAGCAGTCCTGTGGCACCTTAGAGACTAACAAATACATTAGATCACGACCTTTCATGGGTAAAACCTACTTCATTAGATGAGCTGGAGTGATAATTACAGAATCTAGGGTATATGTAACAGCTAAAGCAGTTACCTGTCAATTGCTTTTATATCTTTCCTGGATTCTGTAATTTCCACTCCAATTTGTATAAAGAAGTGGGCTTTAACCACAAAGCCTCATGATCTAATGTATTTGTGAGTCTCTAAGGTGCCACGGGACTGTTTGTTGTTTTTAAAGTTAATCATCAAGTGATCCATCGCCTGTAACCCGTATCCCGGTTTTGACAAACAGAGGTTAGGGACACCATTCCTGTCCATTCTGGCTAATAGCCATTGATGAACCTATCTAGCTTCTTTTTTTTTTAAACCCTGTTATAATCTTGGCCTTCACAAAATCCTCTGGCAAGGAGTTTCACAGGTTGACTGTATGTTGTTCTGTAACCCAGATGACCAATTCCCTCTTTACAGAAAGGAGAGAAAATGGAACACTGCTAGTGTGCACTCTGACAGATATTATGCTATTCAAGAAACATCTCTCTGGTCTTTCTGTAGGACATCCAAAAAAGGTCCAACAAAGTTACATTTAGTTTCCATTTTAGGTAAACTCATTGAGGCTGATCCTCCTTCTCCCAGGGTATGTCTACACTACCCCGCTAGTTCAAACTAGGAGGGTAATGTAGGCATACCGCACTTGCAAATGAAGCCCGGGATTTGAATTTCCCGGGCTTCATTTGCATAAACTGGGCGCCGCCATTTTTAAATCCCTGCTCGTTCGAACCCCGTGCCGCGCGGCTACACGCGGCACGAACTAGGTAGTTCGGACTAGGCGTCCTAGTCCAAACTACCGTTACTCCTCATTCCATGAGTAACCTCGTGGAATGCGGAGTAACGGTAGTTTGGACTAGGACGCCTAGTCCGAACTACCTAGTTCGTGCCGCGTGTAGCCGCGCGGCACGGGGTTCGAACGAGCAGGGATTTAAAAATGGCGGCGCCCAGTTTATGCAAATGAAGCCCGGGAAATTCAAATCCCGGGCTTCATTTGCAAGTGCGGTATGCCTACATTACCCTGCTAGTTCGAACTAGCGGGGTATTGTAGACATACCCCCAGAGCTTATGAGGGTTTTAACTTTGACTTAAATAGGAACAGAATTAAGCCCTTTCATTTCTTAGCGGCTTGTGAAGCTGAACCATTATTGAGATGGAGTCCTAATAAGTGAAAAAATAAAGCTGTAATGTCAGATGAAAAAAGGTTGCTAAGAATGTCTCTCCATAAATTGTCTGTGGAATACTCACATCCTTTAAGCATTTGAAAGAAACAGCATAATATTAATATGGAGCAGTTGATAGGGTAGCATAAATGTCCTGGGTGTTGTTTGGTAATAGTAGTCATGAATGGAGAATCTACAAGTGAATTATGCAGGACAGCTCAAATGAGCATTAATAGAACCTTCACACTATACAATTTATTCTCTCAAGACTGCTTAAGAAACAGGTTCCAGTTTTGCAATTTAAAAAAAATTAGAACAATAGTTTGTTAAACTCTTCTTGTTAGTTAGGTGTCTTCTCTTGAAGGCAAATTAAAAATAGAGATTACATTTAATATTTAATACCTACATTTAATAAACATTTTAGATCTCAGAAAGAGATCTAAAAATAACCTTCCTATATTTAAAATTGTTGTAGCAGCACTAGCTAATATCTTGGCACTTTGCACTGCTTGCACCTAGAAATGTCCCTTTTGAAAGTTGGAAATCTCCCCTTTCCAATGGTATAATGCACCCATTCTATTTCTGCAGATCTGTGAGAAATTGGACCTGCCTAGTAACTAAATGTGCTCATCTTGCACTTCACAGCGTTGTAATTTGGAAGAGGAGGAGGGGGAAAGAGAGACAAGGTGATAGAAATCTGCTCCAAGATTTGGAATGTTATATTCAATCAGGTGAGATGGACTGGTGGGCAATATTTAGATGTTGTGGTCAAAAAACTTATCACACAAGTATTGTAACTAGATATGTGGCATTGTGATGGGGTGGATGAAGCCCAGAAGAAGGCCTCAGGGTCCTGCCATGCACTCATCCCAGGAGAAGAACAGAGAAGAGGTTCCAAAGCAGGCTAGAGTGGCTGCAGCAGCAGAAACTAATCAAGGCCTAGGAAGGCCCTATAAAAAGTTGCTGCAGCAGCATAGACAGTTACTTGCTCGAGCTAGAGGAGTGTAGATAGTGCTCCTGCCAGGTCCAAGGGAACTGCAGAACAACAGACAACTCAATATAGACTGGAGGAGTGAGGAAATGTTCCTGGCTGTCTATTGGGCTTAAGATTGGAAGAGCCTGAGCTAAGGGTAAGGCATTACTGAAAGGTGGAGCAGCAGGAAAGTGGACCCACGAACTGAAGGTAGTTTTGCTAAGGGGACATGGCAGTGCACAGCTAGGGTTGCCAGATGCCCAGTATTCACCCAGACAGTCTGGTATTTTTGCTTCCTGTCCGGTAAAAAATTCAGAGAATACCAGACACCTGAGATGTCTGGTATTCTCTGAATTTTTCCCCAGCTAGGAGGTGAAAATGCTGGGCACCTGGCAACCATACAAACACTCAGCACCTGACCTCCTCCCACCCCTCCCCGGCCCCCAACTCCCACAGGCCGCCAATCTCAGCTCCCATGCTTATATGGTTCCCCAAGGCTGCCTGGGTCTTAGTGCTCAACTGCTCCCCTGTTCCTATCCCTGCACTCACTCTTAAAGGGTACATGCTGTTTTATCTTAATTTTTTTTGGCTTAAGTCCTTGGAGCCCCCCCTTTTTTTGCTCAACAACTTTGCCCCCCCATTTTTTCCCCTTCAACAGAATTTTTTCCCAGTGTTTTTTTTTTGGGGGGGGAGAGGGGTGTTTGGTATTTTTGTTTCAACCATCTGGCAACCCTATGCACAGCTGTTATTCTAGGGTCCCTAGGCTGGGGAATGGAGTAGAGATAGGCCTGGGTCCTTCTCTCCCCATAAGCACTAGCAAGAGGTGGGTCCCCATAAGCACTAGCAAGAGGTGGGTGCCAGGTTGTTTCTGGCAGGTGCAGAATTATATTTAAATAAATGAAGTACACTAGTCATGCTACTACTTACAGGGCAAGTGCCATAAACATGTCAAAAGATTTAATATGTACTGTTCTATAGACTTTTTAAGCTTACCCTTTTCTTAGTTTTTTTGTTGAATACAGACACATTATATTGCAGGCCAGAGTAGACTTGGTGCAAAGATACAGATCTCTCTTCAAGGGTTCTTTTCCATTTCTCAGGAGCAGTGAGAACTATTGATATAGACCTTTCAGTGGAAGACACAGTAACCATTGGTGGATCAATTTTAGCTGGAAAGAGAAGTGCATACACTTAAATAAAGCAATTTCACACAGCAAAGATACATTTGATATGACAAGTATTGTTGCATAAAAGCCTCTGCCCGAGCTATTACATATGGATTTTCTAGAAATACTCTAAACTGTAAGGTTCTGCCAACACATAACTTAGACTGACAAAAATCTCCTGCTGACTGCATTGGTGGGGGGAAAGGGGACAGCTGTCTTCTAAGTCTCTTCATTACTGATGATTTGTAAATGATTCTCTGAAGCTTTGTAATTGTTTCAACTGCATTGCTTTTTAAACTCTGCAACTCTTTGTGATCTTAAACCTTACAACTCTGTAATCTTTGTAAAACTTTGTACCTCTCAGCAACTTTGCTTTATACGTTCAGAAACTTACTGTAAGCTTGGTGATTGAGCCTTGTAACTTTGTAATCTTTGTAACTCTCAGCCACTCTGCTTGTAACTTGCTCTAAACTGCATTTTCCCGAGATAGGAATGTGTGTGTGTGTGTGTGTGTGTGTGTGTGTGTGTGTGTGTGTGTGTGTGTGTGTGTAATAGAGAGAGAGAGAGAGACAGACTAGAGCCGTGGTCACCACCAGGTCAATCGCGCGATTGACTGATAGATCGCGAGGCCTCAACCAGCTGATCGCGAGGCATCTGGCCCCACTCCCATTTCCCCCCCCGCCTCCGAGAAGCCCCACTACCTACCTCCATTTTTGCTGGAGGTAGTGTCGGCTTCCTGTGGGTGGACGGAAGTCCCACAGCTTAGCGCCACTTCCGGGAATTCCAGAAGTGTGCTGGCTGCTCTGCCGGGCATGCTGTGGGAGGGGGCTTGGGGCCCGGAGGAGGAGCACGGCGACTTCTCTGCACCGGTGCAGGAGGGGTGAGTCGGCCCCGTGGCAGGCACACACGGGGTTTTCCTGCGCTGCGGGGGGTGTTTCAGCCCCGGGGCAGGCACAAGCGGGGTTTCCCTTGGAGGGCGTGGAGGGGACTATTGAGTGTTTGGGACTAGAAAATGCAAGGCTGAGCACCTGGAGCTGGGTGATGAGTCATCAGACCACTTAAGGAGATTGCTGCTCTGTTGGATCAAGGGAAGTCTGGGCATGCTCCCTGGTGACTAGTGTGGATGAGTCACAGGGGTTGCACAAAGGCAATAAAAGGAGAGAGCAGTGGCAGAAACTCTCTTTCTCTCTCTCTCTCTTTCTCTTTCTAAGAAGAAACAACCAGTTTCTTTCCTGACCAGCTTCCCAGCCATGATCAGCAGACAGACCCTCCAGAATCTACATGCCTTGGCTCCTTCTGCAATCTCTCTGTGTGAGTGAAATATGGCTGGTTCCCATTTAATTAAATCTTTAGTAGCAGCTCTGTCCTCTTTAGTTTAGCCTTGTAGTGCATATGATGGAGTGTTAATTCTTCGAATAATAAATCCATACTAGTGTAACCCTGGGAGGTCTCCAGTGGGAATTTTTTAGTGTAACATTAATGATATTAAAAATTTCCTACACAGTTGATTATATTAAGTTTCATTATAGGTTTTTGGAACTTAACTGTAACTTAGAATAATTTGTATTGTTTCAAATGTATTCTCAGGATAAGCAACTAAGTCTTACAATCAACAGTGTGGATGCTATTGCATTGGGAGTTTGGGTTAGGAATTCTTGTGCCTAGCAGACAAAAAACCCTTGAAATGTACCTGACTTGATTTATAGCAACGTGCATGAGATTTCAGTTTACTAAAATGAGCTAAGTTATTGGGAATTTCTAGAGAGCAGACTATCTGGCAGAGATGAGAGACATGGCAATCAGAGGTTACTGATTATGGACGGCAGAACATTTTTTTCCTTAATATGTGTTCTCCAAGCTATGCATGCATGGTAGCCAGCTTTTCAAGTAGAATGAAGCATTACTATACTTTCAAATAATATCTGCCTATTATTCAACGTGCAATGCATATATTTCAAAACACACTTAATATGTAATTGTCATAGAAACTCAAAATCTTATCTGATACACTCCAACTAGCTCTGTCAACAGCAAAAACAGCTTTGACTAGGGATGTCATCGTGTAGTCAACTATAGGCCTATGGGTTAATCTTGTCGACTACAGGCATTTCCCCCCCCCCTGTATCAGAGGCAGCAAGGTGGGGGAGGGGAAGCAGGAGCTGGTGCTGAGGGGAGCCGGCTTAAAAACCGGTTCCCCCCAACACTGGTTCCATGGTGCTACCTACCCCGCCCCCTGTGCTGCTGCCCTATAGCAGCGCAGGGGTGGGGGAGAAGAGGAGGCTGCCGTGAAGCAGCCTCTGGCCATGGTAGGCCAAAGCTCACTGTGGACAGAGGCTGCATCACCTCCCACACAGCAGCCTCTCTCTGCGGTGAGCCTGGGCCTGCTGCAGACGGAGGCAGGTCTGGCAGCAGCTCATGTTCATGGACCAACCTCTGTCCATGGGGAGCTGAACCCCCAGGGACAGGGGATGCTGTTGGCCCCGGCCCTGCCTCCAGGGACTATTGAATAGTCATGCAACTGATAAGAATTAATGTGGTTACACGACTGACTATTCAATTGCCTGATATCTAGCATCCCTAATTTTGACATGCAATGAAATAAAAGTTCCTTCCATTTCCCGCAAGAGCAAGCACACAATGTTAATAAACATTTCATTAATTAATCAGAGGTATGAACCCGACTTTGTTATTGTCTTTCCTTACTATCTGTGAGAGGATTGAACCGTGCAGTTTCTGTCCAGTTGGAACAGTTGCCACCGGAGAAGACTTTTACTTTTGCATAGTATTGGTCTTCATGATTATGTGTTTCACTGGAGAGGTCACACCATGTTCTGCTGATGTTCTTGCATTCTGACTTTTTAATCCATTTACCTATGCCATATCTGCATGAGAGAGAGAGGAGACAGCTGAACAAGAAGCCTGGGCACAAACATAGTAGTCATCTGGGAAACGGCACACAGGAAGAACAGAATTCCAAACCTCAGGCACCCACCATTTGTACTGGTGGAGATTTCCCATTAGCTGGTTGTAATATCTCCGGATATACATCTTCTTTATAAATCAGTACAATAGAATTACTCATCTACTATACTCGTAATGTAATATAGTGGTCTGTCCCCAGTGCTCCCTGACAAAAACTCTATTTTGAGGGACTATTATCTGGATGCAAAACAACTGAAAGATCTGTTCCTATGACTACCAAGTTCTATTCCTTGGGTCCTTTTTGCCAGTCTGGTTGGGCCATTTTGTTCCTAAAACCCACATTGTCAACTACTTGAGGATCTCACTACACTGAGGGAATCCTGAAGCTAGAAAGGCCCAGACTCAAAAAGGTGTTTAGCTGCCTAAATCCCCACCAGACTTTGCAGGTGCCTAAACTGACTCAACACCTCAATTTTCATGGTAAAAGTTCCCTGTGTGACTGTTTCTGCCTCTGAGCACACACAGCCACATTGCTCTCTAGACATCCAGATGTGCATTTGAGAGGCTGCTTATCAGATTGGATCCCATTCATATATCTGGCTAATGGAAGAGATCATTGGCACATGGCTTGTAACTTTTAGGTGAGGGGTTAGTACACCCAGCTGGGATACGGGAGACTCAGGTTCAATTCTCTGCCCTAAGGCAAAAGGGAAGCAGGGAGAAAGGATTTGAATTTGATCTCCCCATCTCTCTATCCACTGAGCTCTGGCATATTCTGGTAGGGTGCTCTGTCAGTCTCTCCTGTTGTAACTCTTCCACTTTGGAGTCAATCTTAAAGAGCCATTGGGTGAAAAAATGACTGTAGCCTGATGAGCATTGCCACACCTAAATACCTTAGGGTATGTCTACACTACCACCCTAGTTCGAACTAGGGTAGTTAATGTAGGCAACCGGAGTTGCAAATGAAGCCCGGGATTTGAATTTCCCGGGCTTCATTTGCATATTGCTGGGCGCCGCCATTTTTAAATGTCCGCTAGTTCGGACTCCGTGCCCGCGGAACGAGGCACGTGGAACGAGGTGTACCGGTAGTTCGGAATAGGAAGCCTAATCCGAACTACCTAGTTCGTGCCGCATGTAGCCGCGGGCACGGAGTCCGAACTAGTGGACATTTAAAAATGACGGCGCCCAGCAATATGCAAATGAAGCCTGGGAAATTCAAATCCCGGGCTTCATTTGCAACTCCGGTTGCCTACATTAACCACCCTAGTTCGAACTAGGGTGGTAGTGTAGACACACCCTTAGAGACTCTAGGTCAGGGGTGAGCAATAAGTCAGAGATCGTCTGCCGGTTTACCTGCACATCTGCATGTAAATACACTTGCAGCTCCCATTGGCCATGGATCCCCATTCCCAACCAACAGGAGCTGCAGGAAGTAGTGTCCCAGTCCACGCCTTTCATTGATGTAACAATCAAAATAAACAGTTTAAATGGTTTATTATCCTTTAAATCTTGAAGCCAGATTCATTCACAAAATTAAGTTTTCTATCTGTGCCTTTGCATAAAAATGCCTTTAGTTATTCTACTAGAATGGAAACAGAGACAATAGGCAAACTTACATCAAATATTTTACATTATAGAGTACTCCCTCTCCCAGTCCTTCTGGTGGTGACCAGTGCAGAAGATTCTTCAGGTTTTTTGATTCAAAATGGACATTCCTAGGACTGGGCAAAGAACAGTACAGCTCTGCTGGAACAGAAAATTTAAAAGGAACAATACACATTGAAGCAAATATGTTTTGTGATTCTTAAATCAAATTTATTTATTTATACTTTAGGGCTGTCTATTAATCACAGTTAACTTATGTGATTAACTTAAAATGAATCGTGATTAAAAAATAAATCACAACTAATCACAGTTTTAATTACACTTTTAAACAATACCAATTATAATGTATTACATATTTTGAATGTTTTTCTACATTTTCAAATATGCTGATGCCAATTATAACACAGAATGCAAACCATACAATATGTTATTTTTATTACAAATACTTCACTGTAGAAATTATAAAGGACACAGTATTTTTCCTTTATCTTATACAAGTACTGCAGTGCAATCGCTTCCTTAGGAAAGTGCAACTTACAAGTGTTGAGGGGTTTTTTTTGGTTATATAACTGCATTAAAAATGAAACAATGTAAAGATTTAGAGCGTATAAGTCCACTCAGTCCTACTTCTTGTTCAGTGACATGCTCAGACAAATAAGTTTGTTTCCATTTGCAGGAGATAATGCTGCCTGCTTCTTATTTACGTCACCTGAAATTGCAAACAGACATTCACATAACACTTTTGAAGCTGGCATTCCCAGGTACTTTACGTGCCAGTTAGGCTAATTCCTATGTCTCTTCCTGCTTCCTGTCCATTCCAAGGGACAAACTTCCATGCTGACAACGCTCACTAAAAGCATATTAATTCAATTTATGACAAAGAGATTGCACTACAGTACTTGTTAGAGGGGAATTGAAAAAATATTATTTCTCTTGTTTTGTACAATGCAAATATTTGTAGCCAAAATAAATATAAAGTTTGCAAAGTATTCTATAAGGTAACTGAAATAAAAATATTTGAAAATGTAGAAAACAATATTTAAATAAATGGTTTTCTATTTCTTTGATAAAAACTGATTGTGATTTAAAGCTGTGTGATTAATTTTGTAATTGTGTGACTGCCTTATTTTTTAAAGCAGTGTTTACCTCATAGACATTAACCTCCCACCTCATCCCCCCCCTGTTCTAAAATCTGATTTGTCTATTTTATGTGTGTTCACTTTTTTTGTTTGTATCCTTTTGGTATATATGGTCATGCCAATTTTCTTCCACAATTTGATCTGAGGAAGTGGGTCTGACCCACGAAAGCTCATCACCTAATAAACCATCTTGTTACTCTTTAAAGTGCTGCATAGTCCTGTCTTTTGTTTCAGCTAGACTAGACTAACATGGCTACATCTATATTACTTTTCTCCAAGTGGTCTATGGACCCACTGTGAGGAAGCTGCTACTGAGCCTCTCCATTTGTTTACTTACCGGCTCTGCAGCCACAGAGCCATGCTGTGCCATGCTGTTCCCATTGGCTGCTGTTTGCTGTTTTCAGCCAAGGGGAGCCGCGGGAAGCAGTATGATCCAGGCCACTGCTTCCCGCAGCTCCCCTTGGCAGCAAACTGCAGCCAATGGGAGCAGCGAGTCTCTGTGGCTGCAGAGCCAGTAAGTAAACAAACCAGAGCTGCCCGGTAGAGCTCTCTGAGTGGCTCCATGGACCGATCTGAGAAACAATGTTTTAAAGAAACCCTAAACCATGCAACACTTTTTTCCTCCCTCCCAGGAAAGCAGAGCTGTTTTAGTCACGAAACCTGGATTATTTTCTAATGTTGCCCTACTGGAACACACAAGAGACCCATCTAATTCAGTATCTGGTCTGATAATGGACAGCATCAAATATTCAGAGGAAAGTGAAAGAACCACACAATATGCAGATGTAGGATAACCCACCCCACATATTAGGTATCATTCTGAACTCTGATAGTTAGAAGTGGCTTAAACCCCAAAGCAACTATTTCAACCTACTGGCTAGGACAGCTGACTGTTCTTTAATCCTCTGGGACCATTTTAAACCCCCTGGAGCCTTTTTAAACATAAGGGTTCCAACTTATTCTTGCTCATTGAAAAATTCAGGTTAGAGGTTTTATTTACATTCACCTTTTCCCAGAACAATACTGTGTGTATTTTTAAGAGCTCTATGTAACTCAGAAGCTTGACTCATCAACAGAGGCTGGTCCAATAAAAAATAATATCTCATCTACCTTCTGTCTCTAATTGTTTGCTTTTGTGAAACAAAACTATTCTACATTAAGCCTTTGTGGATGGTTCCTATGTAACAGCAGACTTTCTTAGTTAAAAGAACATTGTTTTGAGTGATGCTGCATACTCTTATTATAATACTGTGATAGACTATGATTTATTATTATTATTACTGAGATAAGAATCTTCCTGAATACTGGTTGAATCTCTTTAGTCTGGCGCTCTCTGGTCTGGCAACACCCATGGTCCAGCATGATTTTAGTTAGCTGGATGTAGCCACATTTCTTGTGGTCCCATAAAGTTTGTTGACATCCACTAGTCCTGGCTCTCAGTGTTCAGTGTTGTTATGGAGTTCTAATTTATCCCTAAATATTTTCTAAGAGCCCAGCAAGCAGTGGTAATGTCACTAGGCATAAGCATGATTTTTATGCTTTATCTACTTATTTCCTTGTACCAATACAGGAAATTTGTGTAACGACACTAACACTTTGTTATGAAGAAAGCTGATAGGCCTTGGCTAGGCACAGGCTTCTACTGGGTGTACGGTAGAACATTATTAAGCACCACTGCAAGCACTGTTCCATTTATTGGTCTTAGCGAAATAAAAATAAAGAGGCCCACTCCCTATTGACCTTCTGTGGCTTAGCAAATTCTCTGGTTCGGCACCCATAAGGCCCCAAGGGTGCTGGATTAGAGACAGTCAACCTGTAGTAGGTTTCTTGTGTACAGTTGCTGCAACAGTAATTTTGTTACATTACTGTTTAAAATGGGACGTGATTACATTAACGTTACTTGCTGAGGTGACAGTCCAGATTCTGATCTTATTTGCACAGGAGTAAATCTGTATTACTGTATTTGATATCACAGTCTGTATTCACCCAGACATACATGAGATCACAATCTGACCCTGTGTTAGCCACAGGACCCTGACCCTGTGTTAGCCAACTAAATTACTACTCATTAATCCTTTATTTCACAAACTGGCTCAAATAAGGAATTTAGTTTTGGTCCAATACGTGCCCCAGTTTAGCAAAGCACTTAGGTGCTTAACTTACAGCACATTTCCAAGTCAATGGGAAAGCTCATATGCTTACAGTCCTAGCGGAATTGGGGCCTTAATGAGGATATCACAAGAAGTGGCCAAACCCTGCAAACTTTACTTACAATTCAATCCCATGTGCCTCCTACCAGGAGTACTGTTTAACATCTCTGGAAGCTGAAGGCATTCACTAAGCAACACTTAGGATCAAACCTGAAATCTCTGAAGTTGTACAACAACAGCACAACAGCCTTCTTTGCATTATCTCTTGTCAAGAGTACAAGGCTATGAGACCAGAAGTAGGAATTAAAAACGGAATCTGTGGTCACGCTGGACTTTTCAAGGACCCATAAACCCATCCTTTAGGGATGTAGTTGTAGTTCTTCTTTAGCTGAATAAAGAACTAGAGAAATGAGGAAGTAAACATTACAATGTAATGAACAATAGGAACCTAACAGACTGGTGAGTCCTTGTGGTGAAACATGACCTTGTTACTGCCTAAAATGAACTGAAAGAATTTTCTGAAGTTTATTTCAGTATCATTTAAATATTTGTTCTCCAGATGTTAACATTTGATTACACTTGTAATACTGATCTATAAATCGAATGAACATCATCGCTGCTCTCTTAACTGACTTCTATCACCTTAGGATGTCCTTAGGCCAAACTCCAAAGACAAAAAGTAGGAAATACTTTCTCAAAATCAATCTGAGAATATTACACTGTTGCAGTTCTACTGGGGCAGAGTTAAGGTTGCCACTTCCAGTAGGTTTAGGATAGAAATAGAATCTTAACTCCGAATTTTTAACTTCACCTTCTAAATTTCCTCCACAAATCTCTTGATTAATGCTGCTCCTTTAGGCCTGAAGGGTAAGATAATATTCAGGATCTTGCAAGACTGTTGCAGTTAAAAAAGGAATTTCATTTTGGTATAATATGGGCCCTAGTTAGAAACAAGAAGAGACATGAATGATATGAGTTAGCTATTTCTTTGGTGCAATCCTTTGTATTTACAAAGAATGGATGCAGAAGCCAAATACCCTTAACGCAGTAGAAACAAACCAATAGCAGGCAGCTTTCTTGCTCTCTATTTCCAAGTCTGCCTCTCTAATGATTTGTGCCCACAAAAGTCTGCCTCTCTGCTCCCTCTCAAGGCCACACTAGGGACACCAGGTGCCTAGTTTCCCCCCAGAAAGTCTGATAAAAAAGCGGATGTGGCAGTGGTCTGGTTGGATGTTCTGACGACACCTAAAGTCCATACAGTAGGTAACTCATACAGTTACCTACATGCTTCCAGCTCCCATCCAGAACACACCACACGATCCATTGTCTATAGCCAAGCCCTTCGATACAACCGCATCTGCTCTAATCCCACTGACAGAGACCAGAAGCTTCAGGATCTCTACCAAGCATTTATAAACCTCAACTACCCACCCAGAGAAATAAAAAAGCAAATTGAAAGAGCCAGACGAATACCTAGAAACCATCTACTTCAAGACAGACCCAAGAAAACCAACAATAGAACACCACTTGTCATCACCTACAACCCCCAACTTAAACCTGTCCAACACATTATCAATAAACTACAGCCTATATTGGAACAGGATACCATACTCAAAGAGCCTCTGGGAGACAGACCCATAGTCTCCTACAGACAACCACCTAACCTCAAGATCATTCTTACCAACCACCACAGGACATACCACACTAATACCAACCCTGGTACCTTCCCTTGCAACAAACCCCGTTGCCAGCTTTGTCCACATATTCATTCTGCTGATACCATTATTGGACCTAACCAAGTAAGTTATAAGATCAAGAACACATATTCCTGCGCATCCAGAAATATAATCTA